CCCCAAAACCCCAAAACCCCAAAACCCCATATAAACTCCTTTCCCCACTACTATAAATAAATATGCTTAAAACCCCCATCCACTGCTCTTCTACACCTCCATATACCCCTACTTCTCACCTGCACCCACTCAAAACCCTTCCAAAACTTCCAGCCTGCTCCATGACCTATCTAGCTCTAATTTCCCTTCTATTCCTGCTCAAAGGGACACTGCAGTAAGTAACAATTCAAATAGTTCAAAATGTTTACTAGCATGGCTAATGCATGTCAGAAGATTCAGGCTAGTTTGAAGTTAATCTGAAATATTTATTAGAAACAACCTGATGTGGGCTATGGGTTGAGAGTATTGCTTAGCAATAGAAATAGTGAAATTTTTAACATTTTGGGATTAAGTGTTGAAGGTTCAAGAATTTTGGATTGATTAAAATTTTATTTTTGGTAGCGATTTTAAGGCTTTAGAGTTTGAACTAGGGTAAAATAAACGATTGAGACATTTATTACCAATCACTTACTCCACCCCAACACAATCCTAAATACCAACCTCTTATTCCCACAATTCTCCTCCACCAATCTAAAATCTAAATTAGCCGCCTTAGAGAGCACTTCTGCGGTTAAGGCCAAGAAGTCTTAGTAGAGATTTTGAGCTTTAATCAAAAATTTATGTAGAGATTTTAGGATTTTTAAGAGGATTTTGAGGAGGAATTTTGGGACAGAAGGGAAGGGAGGAGGGAAGTTAGTGGTGGGGAGAGAGTGAGGGGGCTGGGATAAGGGTTTGTAGGGGATGTGGGGGTAGAGGGATGGGGAGGAAATATTTTTGTAAACAAAGTGGAAATTTAGGGCTGGATGAGATTTGAAAGGAGAGAAATAAAGCGTGTGAAAGGGATATGATAAGTTTGAGTGCAAGCGATCAATTTGAAGTTAGTGATATACAGAAGATTAATTCGAATTTTTATATCATGATGAAAAACAGTGATAAGGACGCGACTTTGTTCTGAAAATACAATGGAAGCGATACTGAATTCTGTTGGAATGAACAAGATTCAGGTGAAGCAATGGTTGTCATGTCTGATGAACAAAGAGTTGTTTTCTCTGCTGATGGGTTACAATCAAATCCTTTTGGGATCGCTTTTCAGATTTATTCATTAGATGGAGCAGGAAATATAAATAGAGCTATCTATCATAAGTAAGACTTCAAAATAAAATTATACTGATAAAATTTCAAAAATAAAAGAAATTTAACATTCTAATATTATAGGCATACCTCTGCAGATTTAATTGAAGAGAGTGTTCCTTACATGGAAGAAATCAATAGTACCCACATCAGTAAGTCCAAAACAGCCCAAATTTCTTAAAAACTACCATCCTAAACTCAAAACATCTGCAATCTTCCAATCAAAATTAATCCAAAACCCACCCTAAACACCTTATCATTTACTTCCTCACCTTATCCCTCTCTACTCCCCACTTCTCACCCCAATCTCCTATACAGTATCCTACTCCAACACCAAAACCTCCAACCCTTATCTACTAATCCTGGATATCACCACCGGCTACACACTCAGATACGAGTGGGATGCCCAACACACCTTCGCACAAGTAGCTTACAGCAAGACTTTGAGCACTACAGTGGTAAGTAGTGGCTGAACTTTAGGTTATGTACCAGTTGAGGGATACCAAGGGGGTCTATTTTAGAGGGTTTGATTGGCAGAGTCATGCTTTGTTTTAGTGAAATTGGGATAAGCTGTCCGAATGCTGGAGGAACAGGGTGTTCGTACGGATTAAATTCTGCTAAAACAATGAACGATGAGCAAACTATGACGTATTTCTTGTTCTATTATGAACCATATGGAATGCTCTTTATGTCTTTTGACATATCTTCTACTGGGTCTTCAACTACTTTTGCTCCATCAGTAGACGCTGAGGATAATTATCACCTGAGTTATCATGACAAACTAGTTTACTTGATGTTTCAGGCAAAAGATGGAAAGTTTATTCTGTCCAGATTCAACACTTCCACAGAAGAATTCTCTAATGAAGTTTATCAAACCTCTATCTACTATAAGAAGTCATTTATTGTTCAAATTATGGTAGAAGAGACTACTGTTTATAAACAATTTGCTATTGGGAGTTCGGGAAGAAATATAGCCGTTGCATACTGAGATATAGGTAAGAATTGTTAGCCTTTTGGATTCCTTAGTTGTCTAGTTGTGTTTAAGGTTTGAATAGATATATTCAAGAATCATGGCGACTTCCAAGATTCGAAAGTAACAATCGCAAAGGTAAGTTAGAGCTCAGTTTCAAATATACTACAGTCTGAACCCAAAATCCTGACCCAAGGCTCCTCCTCGGTCTCTACTTCTTCGCCTTCCACCACCCCAGCTTCCTACTTCTCACAGATTCTTACTCCAAGCCCTATGGTAAAGGTACAGACTGAGAAGAACCCACAGGTAAGTAATTGTTCAGAAACCATGGGGTTAACTGTGATTGTTTAGAGCGATGATCATTATTTTTATGGACCGGTGCTTTTTGAAAATGAGCCAAAACTTACAATTTCGAAGGTACTTAATCAAACAACAGATTTCTGTATCAACTATCCTCAAACAAACGATACTGAGTTCTCTTATAAATTCGATTATGGCTCAAAGGAAACTTCCGACGCTCTCAAACTAGACTACGATGAATCAACCAAATCCCTTTCAGTTTACATGCAAGAAGTGACTCTTCTTAAGAAAACTCACAATATCACTATCTGTAAGCCCAATAGCTTAAGTGTCATTTCTTCCTAGGTTTTGGGGATGGTCAATTGTGGAACTGAGGGTTTGGAGCTGAGGCGGGAATTGTGGCTAACTTGGCTGGTTTAGACTCTATACCGGATAATGCTAATGGGAATTATACACAGACAGTGGAGATTACGGAGGAGATTGATTCAGAAGATAGGAAGGTTTATGAAGCTATTCAAGGGAGTGTGGCTGTAGTCGGAGCTATAGCATCAGTTCTTGGTGGTATTCTGGGAGGAACTCTCATACAAGCTTTGTGGATGGTGTTCAATCAGCAGAAGATTTTGTTGTTTTTTGTTATGATTGATACTTATATGCATGTTTTTGTGAGATTAATTATAAGCAAGCAGAATTTTGGACTGCTTGATTTTGGCTTTCTTAGTGAACTTCTGCCAGATTCCATAGATTCTCCAAGTTTCATCCAAAACTTTGATCAAAAACAAAGAAAAGACATAATGGTGGAGATTGGATTCGAAAAAGAAAGCTTCTTAAACACATATTGGATATACATTCAAATAGTGCTTGCTTTCATCTTCTTCCACCTCCTCTCCCTCCTACTCCTTAAATTATTCCCAAAAATCTTCATCAACAACCCTCCCAACCCACCCATCCCCCACCAAGACAGCACAGTCCAAAACCCAAGCTCCCACAAAACAGTACGTCCAACTCCTTCACTAAAACTCCATGTCTTCCTTTACCCTTGATCCAACTCACCACTCACCTATCCTCCCTCTTGTTCTATTTAAGAGCTCTACATTTTAGTAAAAAAGCCTAGAGATATCTCCTTCTTGGTTATGATGGTTTAAGCGTGTTTGGAGAGGTTTAGGAGGATAGAGAGGGAGGTGAAGTTAGGAGGGGTTGAGGAAGGATCAGGGGGTTAGGAGAGGTTATGGAATTGAGGAAGGAGTGTTTGGGGATTATGGGATTTTGGGAAATTTTGAAGGGAATTGGTTTGGATGAAGAATTTTGGGCATTAAATATATTTGAGAGGATGGGGTAGATTTATATTGTTTAATTATAATTTGTTTTTCTCTTTCTATTTGTTTTTTATTAATTTACAATAAATTCTCAATACTATTTTTTATAAAATCAAAATTTAACTCATCTTACCAATCCAATTACAAAATCCCCAATACATCAATCCATACCAAATAACCTCATTACTAATAACCCCACTAACCCCTCCCAAACAGCCCCTATTCACAAAACCCCACCAAAAATCCCAAAACTCAACCACCGCAAACCCAAACCAAATCCACCTCACTCTCTTCGAAGAAAGTACCCTCTCCCCTCACCATCTAGCCAAAACCCCTGCCAAATCCACCCTCAGTCACCCCACCAACCGCCAAACCTCCCAATCCCACCCAAAAACCACCCACTACACCCAAAGATCTCCCCAAAACCCCCCTTTTTCACGCAAGAAGAAAATCAGCCGAAGAGACAGTACAAGGAACAGGTACGTTTGTGTAGGAATACAGGTTTAGGGATTATGAGAATAGGAAGGAATTTGAAGAAGACAAGGAAGAGAGTGGGGAGAGTGAAGAAGAAGGGGATTCTAGGTGAAGGAGGGTTTGCTATTGGATTGGAGGGAAGATGAAGTCGAATAATTTTTGGAGTGTGTATGTGAGGTTGGTACTGGAGTCGTTTTTGGGGATTATGTTGATTACTACTAATGAAATTAAGACGAATAAGTTGGTAGAGACGAGTCATATTGTATCTTATGTTATTTCTTGGATTGCTGCTATACTATATGCAGCTTTTTATGTGTTTGTATGAGTTATTGGGGTATATGAAGTACGAAGAAGAATTAAGATCAGGTATCTATATCAAGAGCTCGATGAAGACAGTCAACAAAAAGAATTATGAAAAGGTATGTTAATGTCTAAACTATATGTAAGGTTATGAAAACAAGTTCTATGCAGAGCTGTTTAAAGATCTTTCAAATAAGCCATATGCTGCTCTCCATCAGGCATTTAATCTAACTAGAACTGTGTTCATAATAGTTGTGGTATATATTGATGTGTTTGATAAATCAACAGTGTGGGTTTTGTATTTCATCATGATGGTTCTGCAATTTTTGTATATTTATCAAGCAATTGTGATACCAAAATTCGAAGATTTTATACTTAGAATAATTTATCTTTTGAATGAATATTTCTTGTTGTTATTTATAATCACATTTGGCTTGTTAAAATCAAGCGAAGACTGGAAATATGGTAAGTAGCTTCTTGACCAATAGATATAACAATGAACATCGTGATTACAATGATATTCGTAAACAGCATAATAGTCATTGGGTTTCAAATAGTAAGCACTAAACTTAAGCTTTAGTTGGGAAACATTCTTCAAGGCAAACAAAGTTGACAATGGGTCAAGAAGTTAAATTGTTGTAAATCTACCCCACCTCCTATTCCATCAGAGCAAGACATACCTGTCGAGATCCCACTAGAAATGGCTAATTCATACCAATCCTCTTCTCTATCCCCCAGAAACTCCCCTCCAACCCCCCTAGCAAAACGAGAAGAGAACCTCTCAAACCTCCACATCATCAAAAAACAAACTCTAAACTTCAAAGGTGGTCTATAATCCCAATTCTATTCCTCTTCCACACCCTGGGGTTTTGGGGTTTTGGGGTTTTGGGG